GTCCGACAATCACAACTTGTGATGATGTTTTCAAGCTCTTGACATCACCACGTGATATTTCCTTTTCACAAAAAAAATCTTGGCGCAAAAAGTACGACTATATGCATTTTCTAAAGAAGGAAACGTAAATTTGTGGACACTATTCCCTTCTCAAAGTGCAGCCATTTGTTAATGTGAAGGACCCGTGTAGCCCTATTTTGGCACCAATCAATGTATGTTTACAAGTCTGCATTGCTTCTTTATGGAGCAATCTCCATAAGGAAAACATTTCGGCATCCAAATTTCAGGTGCATATATATTTGTCTAGTGACAAAACGCACTGCTGTTGGGTGGAGAGTAATGTGATCCACCACCCGTGGTGTAGTGCCGATCTTGGCAAAGCCCTGGGCTGGACCATGCCCCCGGCTCAGGTAGCCGTCTGTGGCACACGACAGTGACACGACCGGCAGGGCACGCATGTGACCGATCCCACATGTATGACCGCGTTGCCACTAGTATGGCCGGAAAGCCCATATTCATTCCACTACAATGAGGCCAACTCCACTGCGCGATCCTATCTTGTCCGGTCCCGTTCGTTTGGGGCAAAACGGACAAATCAGACGGCCCAGCGCGCGACGATCCAGACCTATCTGGTCCGTTTTGTATCCGGGCCGACCCATTTCGAGCGCAAACTTACGTTGGGTTTGGGTCGCGGCGACAGCGAACGGACGCTTCGAGCGTCCGCGTCGGGGCCGCGTGGCAGGCGGCCACCTACCTCCCACCTGTCAACATAAATGCGCACAGGCGGGTGGCCCCACCTGTCATCCGCATAGCTCCGGGTCGTCGTCCTTCTTAAATGGGAAGCCGTGGACCGGTCGTCGTCCACACTTTCCACTCCGGCCCCTCTCTGCCCCCTCGAAACCCGACACCCTCGAAACCCTAAACCGCTCCCCGTCGTCGACCTCGCCGGCCGGTCGCAGCCATGGGCCTTTGGAACTACGGCCGCAAAGGGAAGCACGACCGCGAGGTCGGCTCCTCCTCGGGCAGTCGTCGCGGATCCGTGAAGAAGGAGGATCCCGAGTCACCGCCGCGCTCCTCCCGTCGAGCCCCCGCGGACGTGTGTCGGAGGTACTGGGAGATGAGGACGCAGGTCCCGTGGAGCGATGTCCACCTCCCCAACGGTTGGCACCTCTCCGCGGACCGGGTCACCATTCCACCAGTGCCAGCGAGCGGCTGTGCCCGGCGCGATGAGATCGCGCGTCGCTGCCGCCTCCTCCCCGACGACCTGTACTACGACCACAAGTACGCCCCCGACTCCCCGTTGTGGGACACATGGCTCCAGGACGAGCACGACACGCGTCGTGCGTCGTACTTCGCCGGCATGGTGTCGGGGCCGCGGCGGCCACGTGCAGAGGCGCGCGGGCGTATGCGGGTGCGCGGCCTGACGCCCACGCCGTCGCCTTCCCCATCTCCTTCGCCACCCCCACCTCCTCGCATGACAGCGGAGGAGGAGGCCCGTCTCGTGCAGCGTGTCATGGAGGACTCCATGAACACGCATGACAAGCGGCAATGGGACGGCCTGGAGGAGGCCATGGCCCTCTCTGCCGTCGGCGACGTCGCCTTCCCGGAGCTGCAGCTGGCGGCCGTGACGGAGGACGCGATGGAGGAGGAGCCGCCGGCCGCGTTCCAGGAGCTGCTGGGCCAGGGGTGGGGCTGGTCCTGCACTGCTCCGGAGATGGGCGCCGACGTGGGCGTGAACTGGTGCGCCACTACGCCATGGTCACCGGAGCGGGAGGCCTCGCCACGGGAGGAGGTGGTGCAGACACCTCCGGCCTTCCAAGCCGCCCCCGTCTACCACGCGCCGTCGGCCCACCTGTGGACGCCACCGGCCTACGTCGACCTCGTCAGCGACAATGACGACACCGGTGATCAGTGAAGACGGCGACGGCCACGGCACCGGCGGGTGCGGCAGGAGCGCGCGGGAGGCTTTTTTATTTTGTTTTTATGTTAATTATAAAACTGGGCCGTTTAAGTGGACTGAGAAACTGGGCCGTTTTGTGGCCGTGACCCCTATATATGTTTTATGTTTTTTAAATGCGTTTATTTACTTTTTTAGTCATTTCATTCTAGTTTTTATATTTTTTTATTCACGTCCACCCCGGACATGATTTGGGGTGCGGCCGCGCGGTGGGCGCACGCACGACCCATCGGACAAAGCCGGACACGGTGAACCCATCGGCGCCCCAATGGACAAAATTCGGCCAATCCGGACATCCGTTTGGGGCCGTGCGGTGGAGTTGGCCTGAATGAAGCTCTTTTTTTTTATGTGATGAAGCCTCTTTTGTGACGTCGCAAGTGATGCACTGTGCCGGTGTAAACTGGGATTGGAACGACCTCTGGTCTCGGCTAAACACAAGCCCAGTGAGGCACGTGATGCGATGATAATGATACCCGGCATCGACGGTCATCACGCTAGCTGCTCACAAAACGGAGCCGACCGGCCTGTGATAGCACGCGTGGACGGCGACAGTTTGGAGGCTAAAAATGCCATCCCCTTTTGACTACCTGCATCACCCAGTGACCCAGCTTTCATGTCGTCGATAAAAGACTTGATGCTGCTCTACAGATCCTTGTGCATTCAGTTACTGCTACTTGCCATGCTTCACCAGCAGAATGACGGACCATCAACTGTTTATTTTGCCAAACATCAATGCACATTCGGTTTCGGATAGATTCAGCTGGAGCTCAGCATATGATCTGAAACTTCATGCAAGACAATACTACAGCTTAACCACAAGCAAACACATCATAGATAGGTAGAAATAAAAACAAGGCATCACCAGAGGCCAACTTTTGTGTTTGGAACGGTAAAATTTGACCACTTAGTCTCAAATCACAAATTCATGGTATTGCCACACGCAAACATATCATAAATAGATAGAAATAAAAAGAAGGCATCACCGGAGGCAATCTTTTGGGTTTGGAATGGTAAAATTCGACCAATTAGTCTCAAATCATAAACTCGTAGTACTTCTGAAACGACACCACGACAACAGCAACCAACCTTCCAGGAGGACCTCCTAAGCTTCTGCTGATCAGAAACCTCCTGTTTCAACCGACGAATAACGATCATATTATGAAAGCTAACGCGAGATCCAAAGTTTTTTCTTTAAATGTCCAGGCTGAAACGAGGACTCTGAATCTGGCGACAGCTTCAGGGCCCCTCTTGCTGTTGCGGAGGCTCTTGCCACACGTAGGTGCCGGACGGATGGCCCTGCTCTTGTACCTGAGGCTCTTGCCACACATAGGTCGACGGGCCACCATACACCATCGACGCACCTGCCACCTGCTGCTCCGGCGCATAGTAGTACGGGTATGCGCCAGCTTGAGTCCCCATGGGCTGCTGCCCGGTCCTAGGAAGCAAGACC